CTGTACTAAACAAATCTAGGCAGCCCTGTGAGCACTGGGTGAGAGAAAAAGCATGAAAAATATGTGAGGCATTGACTGGGCAGTCAAGGCTTAGGGATCTAACATTGTCCTTCAGATTCTTTATAATAAACCCATTTTAATAAAAAGAGTACAGAAACGAGCCCCCCCACCCTGTGCCCCGCCACAACAGAAAGTTATGATTGGTTTTAGTTGGGCAAGTATAGTGCACATTGCTTCCTTCCTTCTGTTCCTCATCAGACCAGAGGCTGGTCTCCCAACACTTCAGAGTGCAAGTCCCTCATGAAGCTTTCCCTCCTATAAATTGCAACATTTATTCACCCGTGGCTTTCATTTGTCCACATTTTTAAAAAGTTCGTGTCAGTAAAAATGCTCTCTTTATTACCTGTATTGACCTCTTCTTCCTCCCTCCTTGCCCTTTACCTGCGGACCTCCTGAAATGTTAGATCTTCTACGCTGAAGCATCACTGTCTCAGAGAGGCCTGCCTACCCCCATCCAGCTGTTGTGTTTTCTCCCCTCAAAGAACCTTTCCTTAGCGCTTCTCTTTATACACTTAAGTGGTTATTTGGTTAATTTTTGTCTCCCCACTAGACCATAAGCACCAAAAGCACAGAGACATGTCCACTTTAACCCACCTTTATTCCTAGCAACTAGCACGGTGCCTGCCACATGGTGGAGACTCAAATATTAATGGAAAGGCTGTAGCCCATGACTGCATCCCTGCTCATCCAGCTGTTGCCTTTCAGTGTGGAAGCAGGACTTGGGAAAAGACACATTTTTCTCTGTAAGTCCATCAATTATCTGCCCATTGAGATTTTAAAATGTGTCACTTTCTATTTACACAAGCAGGTGCATTCACTGCTGAAATTATAGCTTTTTCATGCAATTAGGTATCCCATTTTCCTCCTGCTAAAATAAGATACCCTTTCAAATTCTAAGCTATACTGCTGGTGATGCTGATCTGCTTTTTATTCTGCTCCATTTTACTGCGACTTTCCACTGGTGGTCCCCGCAGAGGTCAGGCCGGCCGGTGTTCTGTCCATGCCTGGTCACGGTCGAGAGGAAGTCACTGTGTTTTCAAGGTGCTTTGCCGCAGGTCATTTGGTGGCCTGTTTCACACAGCTTGCCGGGCCTTGCTTGATTGCCCACAAGCTGTTGGAAAAGGGTTCCAAGTGCTCATGGCATCAGAAGTACTCAGGTCAGTTAGCTGGCTTTAGGAGGGCTCAGCCTTTCTGAGACTGAGCAGGCTGGCAATTTTATATGATGAAAGAAAGCCCATGGCATTGAGGGTACAGGCGGTGTGGGAATGTCACTGCATACAGTCAATGTTTCTACAAGAATTAAACATATTTATTTGCCAAACTGAGTCCTGGGGGGTGCAGATGGGCTTATTATTGTGGAGGGTCTGATACAACTCTGGATGTACATCAGAATTCATTGTATAGCTTTGTAAGAATACACGTGCCTACACCTTATAACATTAGAACTCTAGGAGAAACTGGTCAGTTTTATTCTTTAGTGAGCTTGTTAAAATGCAGCACAAGTTTAAAAAGCGTATTTTAGAGTCGCAACTGAAATATCTCAATTTATTAAAAATGGAACAGGACCAATGTTCTGCATTTTTAAGGAGACATTTCCTTTCCCATCCCAGATGATTCAGGAGCAGTTGGTTGAAGTACCACTCTTGATTAAGTTCAACCACGAATTTCATAGCTGTGCGGCAGGAGTCAAGTGAGGTCCTAGAGGGCCTCTCTTGCCCAATCACCAGCCAAGGAACACTTTGTCTGACTGTTTGGGCTGCCTTCCTCAGGGACTTCTCCATCATCATAGCTATAGAGTTCTTTTTGCTTAATAACTCCTGAGTGGGTTATAATTCATTTATAACAGTTGATCTCATTGGCTTTCTGAGTCCCTAAGGGCATTTTCAGTTAGCTTTCTGCGTGGAACTTTCTAGAACACACTTGGATAGAACTCACAGAAGTTAATTTTTCCTCAAGCTTTATAACCCAAAATTCAGTAATGGAAAGGAATTTATGCGTAACCATATTTTTCTTTGAAATAGGAAATATTTTCCTCTCTGTAAACAAACATTGCCTTGCATTTTTCTTCTATACATTTCAAATGTATAGGATGTGAAACAATTTATTTCTTTCTATAACTGCCGAAAAGATAGGAACTCACTTATCACAAAAAATTTAACAAGACTGCATTGGCTGAAGGCTGCTTGTTTTCTCAGCAGATTTACAAAAAACTCTGCGGGTGGGCTGTTTTTATATTGCCATCTCTCAGGAGATCTTAAATGTGTGTGTGTGCTTTAAAAAAAAAAAATTAAGCCTGGCCGGCATAACTCAGTGGTTGAGCATCCACCTATGAACCAGGAGGTCACAGTTTATATTCCCAGTCAGGGCACATACCTGGGTTGCAGGCTCTATCCCCAGTGTGGAGTGTGCATGAGGTATCTGATCAATGATTCTCTCTCATTATTGATGCTTCTATCATCTATCTATCTATCTATCTATCTATTTCCCCTTCTTCCTTCCTCTCTGAAATCAATAGAAATATATATTTTTAAAAAATTTAAAGAAGCACCATGGAACTAGCAGGGGTGGGCAAACTTTTTGACTCGAGGGCCACAATGGGTTCTTAAACTGGACCGGAGGGCCGGAACAAAAGCATGGATGGAGTGTTTGTGTGAACTAATATAAATTCAAAGTAAACATCATTACATAAAAGGGTACGGTCTTTTTTTTTTTTTTTTTTTTTAGTTTTATTCATTGCAAATGGGCCGTATCCGGCCCGCGGGCCGTAGTTTGCCCACGGCTGAACTAGCCTCTTCCCCCTGCCTCTCTCTCTGTAATGTGCGTGATGACCGAGGGGCAAAGACTCCATGAATCATCCCTTTGGTAGTAGGGAAGTAATCTTAACTTTTCTTCAGGCTGTATACAGACACATTTTTAATCCCTTCAGGTTTGAATGTAGATTTGACCAAAATAATAAGATTAGGAAAATGGATCACGAAGCTAAGCCGTATTTGATTACCTTACTGCCATTAGAGAGTAGGGATTTAGAAAAGGGAGGTTATTTACGTTAACACATTTAAAAACCACGATCTGCAGTCAGGGAAGCCATCATTCAGGACGTAGGTTTTGAGTTATACTTTCACACTATGGCATGTGTGGTACTACCATGGGAAAATGGCCTCAGATTAAAAATGAATGAGATGACTGATACAGTTATTAAAGGTTTGTCATTTGAGAAATTCCAGAGGAATTGTCCTGAATAACCTATAACTTAGCAGTCATCACCTTAATGTTTATGCTAAATGAAAACTTCAGTCTTTATACGCATTAGGAGTATGATTTCAAGCCCCTCCCATGCTGAGTGCTATGTCCTCTATGGTGGTCATTTTGCCCCACAATTAGCAGCTGCACCTCCACATATTTGGTTCTCCAGAACAATATTAAATCTCCATCATAAGCACTGGCTGTCATTTACATACTTCAGGGTTAAGCCTGGGTCTTTTTCCTGATGCCATCTCTCTTGAAAGAATCAAATCCGCCTTCTTGGTGCAGAATTATGAATTCAGGAGTGCAAGATGGTCTGACTTCTCAAAGATGCTTTTCTTATTTAAATGACCCCTCCAGGTTAGAAGTGGCAAAGACCAAAAAGGGCAAGAAATGACTTGGCAGGTGTGAGAGGAACAATTCTCCTGCCTTATGTCCTCTTTCTGGTGGGCAAGGATACTCACTCTGACTTTGTTTTAAAGTTGCCTGGAGCCAAAGAACAGTTGTCAAATATTAATAATAACGTTACAGAAGAAAGATGGATTCCAAGGTGAACCTAAGTAAATTAACGTGTGGTCTGCATGCTGGCTGCTGCAAAATCAGCACATTCACTTCCTTCAAGGGCAGGGAAACCTTATCTGCAACAGAAGTAGCACTCCCTTCTCTCTTCTGTCCTCTTGCGGTGCGAGTTTGGGAGGGTCTCCTTTGCCATCTCTCCTTTATCATCACTCCTGCATTACATTTTCTCCAAATTCAGTTCTTTTTCTACTCACTGGTTGCAGAATTGATTCGCCACTTTCCCTCTCTCGTATGTCTTCTTCAGAGCCAAAGTCTGCTTCGCACCCAGAGGGGCACTAATCAGATGCCCTTCGAGCCAGATTTAGCACCTTCTTGTGTGTGAGTTCACTGTTAACTTCATCCATAACGTGGGCCAAGGATCAGTTTCTTTGCTTTAGTCCCCTTTTTGTCCAGTTTTAGATGCCTGGGTCCATTCACAGTCAACACTCTTGTGGGAAACATAGCACTGTGTTCCAGATCAGGCAGACATGTGGTGTAAATGTAAACTGAAAGGCACTTCGAATGCCGGGGGTCTTAATCCAGTATCTAGAAGGGCTGTGCGTAAATTAAATAAGAGTCCAGAGACGAAACATAATTTTGGAAGGTATTATGGGGAGTCAGAGAAGACTTAGCTAAAGGAACTAAGTTCTTCTTGTCTCAGGACCCCTTGCTTTTTATTAACACAATTTGTCCTAAGGTGAGGTAGATATACACATCAAAGGCCAGGGTTTGTATACAGAAGCATTGTCAGATTGGAAGAATTGCCTATGGCTGTTCAGGTGTTTGGCCAGTAGGAGGCAATAACCTGTAGATTAAGATGGCCTCAGCTGTCTGGCAGCAAGCAATCATTTTATGCATCCTTTTCAGGTTTGGGGAAATGTCCTCAGCCATTCCCAGATGATTCAGCCCTGCTGACATGCTGGAATTGGCTTCCTGCACACTGCCATCAATTGTTTGTCCCATTCATTTCAGTGGAGTTTGAGGCCTTCTCTCTGCCAAATTAGAGGGGTGTGTGTGTGTGTGTGTGTCTGTCTGTGTATCTGTGTGTATGTGTTAAATAAACTGAAGGGGGGAGGGTAATTTATAAAATCAGAGAATTTGAAAGATATTAAAATTCTGAAATTTTTCTTTTATCTTAGCAAAACACACTTTGGCAGACCATCCTGGAGGCAAAAGTGGGTATTTCTTCTTAACATGCATTGCCCAGGTTTTGCAATCTTAGAATCTCATCTGCTGGTTTTTTTAAGTTCCCTTGAAATTGGATCTTTACAACAGGACCAACATTTATAACACAGATCATTAGAAACTAAATGATAAACTCCATTCCTTGGTTTTAAATATATATTCTAAATAAGAATTTATTTGCTATAGAGGGAGCTTTCTTTCTTTAAATACCAAACCTGAAATTTTAAAGGATAAAATTGCATACGATAGACTAAGCCTTAGAATTGGTAATAAAATAGAACATTTGATTAAAAAGGAGGGGACAACAAAATAAAAAACTCCCACAACTATGAAATATGCAGTTTTAAATAAAAATTATAAGGCATAGTTTCATAGTTAAGGATATCAGAAGCCTGTTTTCATTTAAAGTCTATTAAAGTTCAAAATGAATAGTAAGTTGACCGTTGCAAATTCCAGGAGACAAATACGTACTAAAAATGATTTGAACATAGGTCTAATTTACTTGTGATCTTTCTCTAATGGGGGCTCTGTTAGATTTGATTCAGTATCACTTAATGCTTTTCTTGAAAATAGCTTTTGCCTCTCTGGAACTCCTAACCAAATCATTACTCTGGTATTTTTCTTTGGAATTCTATTAAATAAGTCTAATATCTTTTCCTTGGGGAGGTTTGCCTTTTTTGAGCAGAGGAGGGGATAGTACATACTATACGAAGAGGCGGGTAGTTTTCCAGCTTACAGTTAAATGTTCAAAAGTAAATTTAATATATTGTTTCACTTTACTCAGTTTTCCCACTGAAGCCATTTTACATATTGCTCTTTCGCATCTGTCACAAGTCTTGGCTCATGTGCTCTTTTGTCTCTTCTTAAGCTGCTTTGCTTTACAAGGCAATGTCCACAGTAGGCATCTCTTCTTTAAAAATATATATTTTTTCTTTTCTGGTTCAAAACCTATTGGTGTTTCCTGCTCCACCATTCACCGTATAACCAGAGATAAGTTGTTTAACTCTGAGTCTGTTTCCTCATCTGTAAAAACCTATAGGGTTGCTTTGAGGATTAAATAAGCGAGTACATGTGAAACATTCAGCACAGTACTCAACCAATCAGTAAGTGGTCAATCGTTTTTCTATTATATGTATTTTAGAAAAATTGAAATATGCTGAAAACATCATAAAGGAAAAATTAATATCAAACTTTTACTACCCTGGATAACTAATGATACATCCTATATACTAAAACCTAATATGCTAAGTGTCTGATCGTTTGACCAGGCACTATGACCTGCACTGACCACCAGGGGGGCAGACATTCTGACCAGTAGGATAGCTTGCTGCTGGGGTCCGGCTGATCAGGACTGGGCGAGATGGGCCGGACACGCCCTGGAGCCCTCCTGCAGTCCCTCCCCTGCCCTGATTGTGCACTGGTGGGGTCCTTAGGCCTGGCCTGTGCCCTCTTGCAATCCAAGACCCCTTGGGGGATGTCGGAGAGCCGTTTCAGCCTGATCCCTGTAGGCCAGGCTGAGGGACTCCACTGGTGCACGAATCCGTGCACCAGGACTCTAGTATTAACATAATTCAGCCAATTTTTTTCTCATACAGGTAGTATAGAAACTGTTTTGTAACCTGTGTTTCATTATGAACATTTTCCCACATAAGTGTTACTCTTCCAGAACATGACCTTTTTTCCTGGTGAATTTTTAAAATTCATTTTAACATTATAGTTGACATACCATGACATGATTTTCAATAGCTTCGTTGTTTTGTTTTGTTTTCCAATGCATGGACATCCCTGCATTTAATCACTGGTTTCCAGACAAATTTTCATTATCATGAATAATATTTGATAAACATGTTTGCATACAAGTCCTTAATGCTTATCTTTAACTTCTTAAAATAAATTCCTAGAAAGACATGCTAGGTAAAAGGTGTAAACTGTTAAAGTTTTTGTCACATTTTTTCACTTTCTGTACAGGATTGTTTGATTTATAGTCTAACCACAATGTAGAAGGCCAGCTTTCCTTTCCTTCGGATTTTTTTCCTTGTCTCCTTACTTTAATCTCCTTCTGTTTCAGTGCATCTTAAACTCAGCTCCAAGCACATTATCCCTTGAACAATATTTGATGATTTCTTTTACTCTTTAAGACGTTTCAGTTTCCTCTCACTGCCACAAGTCAAAACTCCCTGGCTCACGGGGAGGTAAGCCTTCTCCACCTGCCAGCTTCCTCCTCCTCCCAGTCTTATCAACTCCATTTCTTATTATCTCTCCCTGTGAACTCATATTTACTACTCCTACATTGCATTTCTTTTCTCCAGTAAGTGGTTCTAACCTCAAAACTGATCTTTAAACTATACTGGAATGATTTCCTGATTCTTTTTCTTGTCTCTTCTCCTGGATTTTTCTCTTTGAAGGCTAGGCAGCACTTAACAGAGCTCCTATGTTAATTAAATATGCTAATTCATCTCAAGATTCATGCCTATTTTTGCATTGCTTTGGAAAATGTTTTTCCCTGGTATTTCGTGTGTGTGTGTGTGTTGTTTGAACATTAAAATTGCAGGTTCCTTGATGGCAAAGGGTTGTTCTCCAAATAGTGTCTAGTCTAACGTGCTGTACTCAGCAGACACTCAATAAATTGGAATTGGATGGCTGACAGGTTTTCTTTAAAGATGAATTATGAAGCATTTAGTAGCTTTTAAATTACACTGGCCAAATCTTTTCATATACATTAATAATTTCTTAAAGAATGTACCACTGTACAGTAAATAGTTTCTGTAGTATAATGGCTAGTGTCAGCATTCTACCTACTAGGTTCCCAGGATTTAGACCCCTAGTCATTCTGCTTCTTCACTGCCTTCCAGATTGCAGGTGGCCTGGGTAATATAAATGTATGCAAATTCTGTAAGAAGTTGCAATAGGCTCCTTTTGTGCCTTACTTCACAAGCATTAGCTCATCTAGCTTATGTTTTTATTCCCGCTGTTAACTATCTTCTTGGTATAATCAGAGGACTCCGTGAACTATGTATCTCCTACTTTCTGCCCTGAGGCTTCTCTGCTACCCACTGGGGTTTGTTTGGGGGGAGTAGGTTGGGGGAGAGAACCTACTCAGTAGTTCAGACAAGCACAAACCCTGGAAGAATTCACACCCCCAAGGCAACTCTTACTAGTAACTCAGGGGCACAATTCTAAGGTATTCAACTCCTCAGAGGGTCCCTAGCAGAATCAAGCCTATTGCCAAAGGAAGAAAGGCCAGAATGGAGTTCAAACAGTTATACAGAGGAAGTCATTAAAGCTCCATATGTAGCATTGTATGTTAAGTACTCCATAATTTACCATTTTAGCATGTAAATGTTGATTTGGGTTTTAGATTTTACTTTCCTAAAATAATGGCATCAATGGCAATTAAAGACCAAGTGTAGTTCCATTTGCCGTAAGAAACCAGACTCTTGTGGTCTATCTGAAGTCATGAGAGGAGGTGCTGTTTGAGACAAATAGTTATGAACTGTAAACAGTTTTCTCCAAGGGCTACCTCCAAGTCCCTAATTCTTGGATCTGGTCAAGATATAAGCTTATAGGGTGCAAAGCACTAAACCTGATGCTGAGAGAACACAAGGATGTGTAAGATACAGTCCTTCCTTCAGCCAAACTGGGGAGCTAAAATACCTATGCAGATAGCTTTTTAGTACTTGAAAGTTCACTTGCTGCTCTTAGGTGTGTTTACTAACAGAGTTTATAGCCTTTGAGCCAGACTTTGAAGGATGTGAAGGATTGGCCAAAACCAATAATTTGTCTACTTTCACTGAGTTATTCTGAAGATACAGAATGATAACAATATACATTGCTCAGAAAAGTATAAAATACTAAACACATGCAAGATACTGATAATGGTTATAATACAGGGTGGGTCAAAAGTAGGTTTAAAGTTGTTCATATGGAAAATAATCTAATAATCTTATCTAATAAAAGAGAAACATGCAAATTGACCATACCTCTGCTACACTCACAAGCCATGCCCACAAGCCACGCCCACCAGCCAATCAGAGTGACTATATGCAAATTAACCCAACCAAGATGGCTGCTGGCAGCCACAGAGCTGGAGCAAGCAGGAGGCTTGGTTGCCCCCAGCAATGGAGGAAGCCAAGCTTCCTGCCTTCCCTGGCTGGCTGTGGGCTCCGCTCAAGGCAACAAAGTTTCAATTATAGAAGATAAATAAATCCCAGATACCTCTTTCCAGCCAGCCTCCACTGGGAGCTTGGGTGGTTGGGGGCTGTGGCCAGCCTGCAAACAGCCATCAGCCCCTCACCCAGGCTGACCAGGCACCCCAGCAAGCCCCCACCCTGATCCGGGACACCCTTCAGGGCAAACCAGCCGGCCCCCACCCATGCACCAGGCCTCTATCCTATATAATAAAAGGGTAATGTGCAAATTGACTCTAACAGCAGAATGACTGGGAATGGCTGGTCACTATGACACACACTGACCACCAGGGGGCAGACGCTCAATGCAGGAGCTGCACCCTGGTGGTCAGTGTGCTCCCACAGGGGGAGCTCTGCTCAGCCACAAGCCAGGCTGACGGCTGCCAGTACAGCAGTGGTGATGGGAGCCTCTCCTGCCTCCTCAGCAGCGCTAAGGATGTCCAACTGCAGCTTATGCCTGCTCCCCGCTGGCAAGTGGACATCCCCCGAGAGCTCCCGGGCTGCCAGAGGGATGTCTGACTGCCAGCTTAGGCCCAATCCCCCAGGAAGCAGGCCTAAGCCAGCAGGTGGACATCCCCCGAGTGGTCCCAGACTGTGAGAGGGCACAGGCCGGGCTGAGGGACCCCCCTGAGTACACAAATTTTTGTGCACCGGGCCTCTAGTTAATAGATAATACACAAGAATAAATGTATTTCATGTACTCATAACTGTAAACCTACATCTGCCCCATCCTGTATTATTGTTTCTGAAAAAGATTATAAGAATATGCAATTTAGGGTTTCAACTTCTAGAAACTCTTATCATTGATTAGAGAACAGATGCCATGCTATATTTAAAATTTTTTTTTTGCTTTATTTTTGAATTCTAGTAAAATTTTAAATTATTCTTTGTATTATATATTACTTTTGCAATAATTCCAATATCAGTTAATATTACAGCCTATATTTTTAATTGCGATATAATTGACATTATATTAGCTTGAGGTATACAACATAATGATTTGATATTTGTATATATAAAGAAATGATCACCATAGTAAGTCTAGTCAACATCTATCACCACACATAGTTACATCTTGTGTGTGTGTGATGAGAACTGTTCATATCTGCTCTCTTAGCAACTATTAACTATACAATACAGTATTATTAACTATAGTCAGCATGCTGTACATTGTATCTTCAGTACTTATTTTATAACTGGAAGTTTATGCCTTTGACCCCTTCACCCGTTTTGCAACCTCCCACCTGCCCCCATCCCCCACCTCTGGCAACCACCAATTGTTCTCTGTATCTATGAGTTTGGTTTCTGGTTTGTTGGAGATTTTTTCTTTTTTTAGATTCCACACATAAGTGAGATCATGCGGTATTTGTATGACAGCCTGGTTTTAAGCAAAGGTACGAGCTTGAGAATAAGGATTTAACTGCCATTTGAATACATTTAGAGCATCACCTCAGTATAAAAGGTGATTTCTTGAAATATCTTGACAGAATCTAGTACTTTGCTAGAATTATTTCTTTCTGTTCTTCCAAAGAATCTTCCCCAATGGAAAGAACTCTATATATGGAGTTATACTATTTTAGAAATGAAATGCCAAACTATAACTTCAATATAGTAAAAAATATAAATCCTGTTTAAAGACCAATATCAGAGTTTCAAAAAAGTAGATCAGTGGACATAATTGGAAGGAAATGTGTGGTATGCTTTCAGTAACACAGAGCACACCAATATTTATAAAAATATGCATTGTAGAATTATTCATTATAGAATTACTTCCTGTGCCTCATAGATATTTCCAAGGGAAAAAAGACAGATGTTACTCTGAATAGCAAGGTCATCTGAGTTTAAAAATAGTTATTTTGCAGTATGCCTCTTCCTTGTCCAGTATCAGGAGAAAATTGTCATTAAACTCTAGAATTAAATATATATAGTGTTAACATGTTGAGTCCATTCACATTTTGTGAAATAACTTTATTTGCTCTGCAATAGGTGGCTAGCAGGTAAATTGAACAATGTTTGGTGATATTTTAAAGTTGTAATTTCATCAACAACTTAATTAGGGGATATAAACATAAACCTGGAAATAAAAAGTATTGTATGCTATATTTGACTACTCAAAGACTGAAAAATAACTTTCCAGTGGACTTTTCCTGGGAAGTCAATTGTTCATTCTGGCAAGTTTCTTTTCATCTTAAATTGTGCAACATTTAAAAGAAAAACTATGAAGGTTACAAAAATTATATTTTAAAGATAATTTTTTAATTACAGAAAATTTTTAAAATATGTTAAATTACATAGGTGCGCTGTTCCTTATTCTGGGCCCACACCTCAGGGACAATTCTTTTTAACAGTTTCTTTTACTTCAGTTTCTAATGGGTATGCCTTCATTTATTTGATCAAATTCACAGCAAGGAGATGTTAAACTCTTGGCATTCTTAAGAAATATGTTTTAAGAATTTCAGTCTCTGATTCATACATGCCACTCTATCATTTAATTTCTTTCTTATAGTTCTGTTTGGTTGTGTTCTCGGCTGGAAGGGGGAAGAGTGTGCTATCTCCCCAGCCCCCCAGACGAATATATTAGAATCTTCAGGGAGGTCTTTGTCACAGTATACCTTTCTTCCTACCTCCAAGGGAAGCATGCCTACTGGGTTGAAAATCACTTCATGTAATTTCAGATGTCCCTAGTTGGGAGTGCATTGTGAGATAGTGTAGAAGCAGAACAAAGTCAAGTTAAGAATAATATGTATATAAAGGCCGAGACATTTCAGTGGTGAACAGTTCTTTTTTTCTGGCTAACAGATATCGTCTTAGATATTTTCTTTTTCCGTTTATCCCACTATTCCATTATCAGCTCGTGCAGAGGGCTCTCCGTTCTCTTCCCTTCACAAGAATTCCTGCGTGAGCATTAATGAGTAGAAAACAACAAAACAAAGTAGAGATATGGCTGGCATAGCATAGACTGTCTTCTGCTGAGATGAGTGACTGGCTTCTGCATTCTAGACAAGGGCAGTCATATTTATATCAGTAAGATTACTATGATGGGGCCTTCAGAGTTCAGTGGGATAGTAGTTGAAACTTCGAGTACTAACTCCATGAATGACAAACTAAATCTATCATCTTTTAGACCTTTCAACCTGGTAGAAAACTGTTAGAGGTCTGTGATTCTGCCTATTTGAAGAGTCACCTTACTGGGCACAGTGGAGACTAAAAATGACAAGGACATGGTTGTCTAAAGGGTTAGTGCCACAGTGCTTTTGAGTTCTCACTGCAGCACCTAAAACGAAGTGAAAAGGCTAAGATGAGACATACTAATTTTTTTTACCTGTCTTATTTGCAGACTGCAGCTGAATATGTAAAATCTCGACTCCCAGAGGCCCTTAAACAGCATCTACAGGATTACGAGAAAGACAAAGAAAATAGTGTTTTGTCTTACCAGACCATCCTTGAACAGCAGATTTTGTCGATTGACCGAGAAATGCTAGAAAAATTGACTGTATCCTATGATGAAGCAGGTATGTTGTCTTTCATACACACACAGTCACACGATTTTTTCTCCCTGCAGAAATTTCTTTATACATTGGTTAAATTTAGGCCCTTTTTCTGAGGTAGGAGATGAAGGGCAAACTGGACCCGAAGTTAGATAGTATGGATTAACAGTGAGTTTCTTCTCTGCAGTTTTAGTATAAAAAATTTCATCAGGAGGTTCCTAAAAATGTCTCTTAAATATCAACTTCCTTTTACAGTTTTGCTCTTTTTTTAAAAGGAAATTTCTTGTCTTTTATCAATCATGGACTCTTACTGATTTAATCTTTTGAAGTGTCACTTCAATTTCAGATACCAGCTGAAAACTTTTGCATCTGATAATCCAAGAACTATTATTTGCTTCAAGTATTATTTTTTAATTTCAGAGAATTTCTTTTCTAAAGAGGTGCCATTTTTTCTTAAAGTTTCAAGCTGAACTTGATTTTCTTTTTCTTTAACTCCTTATGTGAATCCTAGCTCCTCTTATCATACCAGATACTTCGGTTCTTTGTCTCCCATAAGTTCATCCTATCCAAGGGAGCTTATTATTGAAGGCATAGACAGACCTCCTTATAACACCATTTTTATTTATTACATGGTCTGTCTGCTAAAACCCAAATTTTAATGAAACCAGTGCAATATTACTTGGAATTATTAAAATATTTAATAAAATTAAACTTAGGAGAAATATCCTAATTAAAATGGTCATACTGCCCACCCCCCAACAAAATGGAGAAGAAAGTATAGGACAATAACGTTTCTAATAGTCAAATGTTGGTAGTATCAATCCCTATTACTAGGACCTTCTGTTTTTATTTCCACAAGGAAGTTGTTAGCATGCATCTCATTTTCTTTCTCCTGATCCTAAGCAGTCTCAGTGCTGATGTTCTTAACATTTGATTTCAAGCATGAATAGCAAACAGAAGAGTAAATTAAAAAACAAACATTATGCTACACATGCCTAAACACTAATGCAATTTTTTTAGTTATTAAGCTGTCCCCATTTATATTCTGCCTTATTACCCCTTTGCCTCCCTCTCAGACAGGATTCACATTTCAAGCCTTGCCTAAGACATCTCTGCTCTCTCTGATTCTTCTTTACTTCATTAATTTTCCAGACTCATTGGTTTCTTCTGTCTGCTGGGTGGTTAGATATTTGGTTACTGTGTTTGCCTTGTTTTTCACATTCTTGTCTTTAGAATTCTCATTCATCTCTTCTCTCACCCCTAATGGTTGGCCCAATCAAAATAATATTTAAATATTTATAGCATCTCAGAGATCATGGAACTCATATACTTCACCTCCTTCCTACCCCCATAATCATTTTATGATGAGAAAACGGAGACTCACAGACTTGCCTGCAGTAACACAAGTTACTTAGCTATAGAGCTGGAACTCCAACCTCCTATTACAAATCAAGCCAGGCTTTCACCGCCTGAATGCAGGTTCTCATTCGTTCAGTAGACATTTGTCCAATGCATAGTGATATACTAGGCAGCTGGAAGAAAGAGGGAAGGGTTTTGAAAAGGCAGAGAGGAATTAGAGATGTTGAAAACACTTTGTTTTTAGGTTATCCTTACTAAGGATATTTTTTTTCCATTGATTTTTAGAGAAAGTGAAGTGGAAGGAAAGGAGGCATAAGGAGAGAGAGAGAGGAGGGGGGAGAGAGGAGAGAGAAACATGTAAGTGAGAGAGATGCTTCTATTGTTGCTTCCCACACACTCCCTGACCTGGACTGGGAATCGAACCCACAACACACACCAGCAAGGCAGATCTTGTTAAAAGTCTAGCTGGAGAGCTAAAACACACATATGTGACTTCTGAGTAAAAATTCCTGAGGATTTAGGGAATGAGTACACTCTATTCACAAGCTATTGGAGTTAAGTTCTTTAGGGGAGGACATTGACCCTGAAGGACAAATGATGAATGTGGGTTTGTGCAGATAAGAGAGATGCAGTGTTTGTGAGGAAGGGGCTCAAGTAGACACCAAGGTGAAAAAACTAAGACCCATAGACCTGCGTACAGTAACACAGTTACTTAGCCATAGAGCTGGGACTCCAATCTCCTTTTATAAATCAATCTGGGCTTTCACTGCCCTATTGCAACCAGGCACGACTTCCCACCAGTGAAATTGTCTACTCACCTGCATGTTGTTGAGCAACTACTGGTCTGCAGAGGTGCTCTTGTACATGGCCTTTGGGAGCAAATGCTTTGACACAGAATTAATGTATCAATAAATTTGCAGCATGAAACAGCAGAAATCACTACAGGATTGAGAGTAGAAAATCTGAATTCCAGTCTTTTCCTCTAGCTTAATGGTGACCTTTAGCAAATTAATGTCTTAGAGCCTCGGTTTCTTCATCTATAAATTTGGGCTAATAATATCTCACAGGGTTATTATGATAAGGAAGTATGTTACATTTGAGGAAGTCCTTAGAAATTATGTTAGAAATGCCACTCATGCCAAATGAGAACAGATTTATGATCTTTCTATACCACAGACCAGTTTAAAGTACTCAGAGGTTTTTCTTGGCATGTCGTCTCTGGGGAGGCAGAGGCAAATTTTTAAAAATGATCTTCAGAAGCTTTGAGAAGTCAAGCAACATCTGTGTTAAATCAGCCACTCCGGGCTCAGTTTGCCCTTGGTCGTTTCTGCATGAGGTGACGCATTTGGTGGGGGCTGTGTATGTATGAGTCAGTGAAGGTCATTGTGTGTTGTAAAATCTAAACTGCCTTCTGCTGCACTACCCACATCTTAATAATTTCATTCAAAGAACGAGGAGAAGATATAAAAAGTCATTGCTATTAAAAAGAGAAATAGGTTATCATAATACAAAGGAGTCAGGAAATAGAAGAGAAGGTACCTAATACCTTCAGATATAAACACCTTATATGAAGACATTCATTTGTTTCAACTGCTTACCTTCTTTCCATGCTATCCCAGTTTTTACTTGTTCACATTCTTAATTCCGCTCTCCCAATTTTAGGAAGTGATTAATTATTAATTAGAAAATGCCCTTCTTTGTCTGGGGAGAGGTTAATTTGCCTTTCATGCTCATCCGCTGATAAATCAGGCTGTGTGACAGTTACCACATTTGTGGTTTCTAAACTTCTAAAAACCAGTTAATGAAAAATCCTTAGACACTTGTCTAAAACCATTGGCTCTGAACCTTTCCTCCCTCCTCTCTCTTCTGTCTTTCCCTCTCAGTTTCCTCCCTCCCCCATTAAACATATTTGCTCCCAAAGGCCATGTACAAGAGCACCTCTACTCTTCCACAATTCAAGTATCTAGAAACCTGACTTTCAGCAAAGAAATGGGAAGGAAGCAAAAGCCACCCTCTGCCATACTATGTCACAGAAACTTTAGATTCTCACCTGGAATCTATATATTTTCACTTTAAATCATTCTTACCTGTTAGATTATATTTTCCGATGTGATATTTTTAAAAATTCTTGTTCTGACATTGAGTATTGTACTTTATTACAGAAACAAATAGAAATAAGTAGAATGGTATAATAATAGAATAATAATTATCAGTAATCCTGTCATTGTAAACATTTGGTACGTTTCCCTCACTCTAAGCATTTTTGAAATGTTATTGATATCTAACAGTATCCTACATTTTTAATTTAACACTATGACATAGCTCTTCTTTATTTTATTAAAACCTCTTCATGTGATGATCATTTTAATGGCTACAGAATATCCTATTCTTTTAAAGTACCACTTACTAACCATTCTCCTCTGTTGGACATTTGTGGTTTTGTTTTTGCGAATAATGCTGCAATACATATGATGTGCATTTGTCTGCATTTCATATTACTCTAAAGAGCAGATTTTAGAAAAACCACAGTTTCGAATTAGAATTAGAAGGTGGGGAAAGGAGATGATACTGGAAGCAGAGACCTGAGAGCAGCAAGGAATAAAACCAAAGAGCAAATTCATAGAAATCTACAAAAAAAAAAACAGTTATCATATTCCCAGCATTGTGCTGCACTCTACGTCAAGTCGGCATTCATAGACTCTGTAGTATATAGAGTTAACATCATTAATCTTCATAATGATGACGTTGAGTCACAGAGAAAAGGTTTAATTATACTCTCTGTATAAAAATAGGAATTGTGTAAACCATTTTAGGAGGATTTTCATCCAAATGGTTTATTTTTAAGTTTTGATTATTACAGTGACTATTAAGTTTTGTAGTATAATTGAAAAAGGTCTTAGAACCAAAAGACGGAGAACCAAGATGGCGGCATAGGTTAACGCCGGAGTTTGCTGCTTTGAACAACTACTTCAAAAGTGAAACCAAAAAACAGAAGGGACATCACCCAGAACCACAGGAACGCTGGCTGAGTGGAAGTCCTACAACTAGGAGGAAAGAGAAACGCATACGGACACCCAGAGGAGGCGCAGTGCTGAAGTCAAATTCTGAGGTGCGGAGTGCACGGAGTAGGCTGGCGGCGGAGGGCGCGGTTGGCGTTTTCAATCGGGAGGGAGTCGCAGACTCTGAGCTCCAGATACAGGCGAGTCTCTAGGGACCCAGACTCAAACGGGAGAAGCGGGACTGTCTGGCTTCGGTCAGAGCGAGTGCAGCTTTCTCTCTGAGCTTTGCAGCGGGTGCTGGGACTCAGAGAGGCAGAGCCCCTGGGGACAGGACTGAGAGCCGCCATAACTGCTCTCTCCGGCCCACCCTGTTGATCCTGTGCGACCCGCCCTGCCCAAGCCCTGCACAGAGGCTTTTGCCGGATAGCCTCAGGCAAAGGCTAGATTAGCACCTCCTTAGAGGACAGAAGTTCTCTCACTGCTGACACAGCTGATTCTCATAGCCACTTGGCCTGGAGGTCAAACCCTCCCTGGAATTAGCTACAACAATCAAGATTTAACTATAAGACTTCGAACAAAGACCACTAGGGGGTGCACCAAGGAAGCATAACAAAATGCGGAGACAAAGAAACAGGAAAAAATTGTCAATGGAAGATATAGAGTTCA